GTCGAACTATTGAATGAGGGTCAGAAGGGATAAAAGGGAGGAAAAACCTATTCAGGAACCAGCGAATCACGACAATACTTGCAGGCATGCGATCACATTGATAGGCAATCAGTTTCCATCCTTCCCGGGTGCGTTCAGTTCAATTACAAAATAATCTTGCTCTATAACTGACGTCGCGCAGGACGGCCGTGAAATGCGCTTGGACAGGGAGATTTTCAGTCGCTTCTTGAAGTTCGTTTGAGAACTAAAAATGAAGACAGACGACGTGAACAACCGCCGGATTCCTATGACCTTCACCTTCGCACCTCCACAGATATCAAAGGTTCAAGGGGGGAGACAGAGTGACCCAAACTGAGCAGTTTGAGGTGTAACTAAAAAAAAGTCCTTCAAGGTTAGTTTACGAACTCGACTCGCGAACAATGCACGGAAGTTTGATCTCATTCGTGCCGCGGAGTGAAATTTTCGAAACTTTAGCAAACCTCTAAAAAAGGGACATCAGCGGAATATTTTTCCAACAGAAAACCAATTTATTTTAAGGACACACGGGAAAAACAAGCACCTCAGAATCAAATAAACTTGAGAATGTCACCGATAAATGAAATGCGCATCCAATTATCGCGAATACACCGGAAGGAGAAGAGGAAAAAACTACAAATGTATTCTGGGACAGAGATGCTCAATCTGTTCCTGAATTGATCCACTTTCAAGAAATGGAACACAATCACAGAACACCTGCTGGGTACCACATACAATGTGCGGCTTAGACTTCATTTTGTTATCCCTGGAAACGTAGTAAGCTACGTGCATCTCCTTTTAATTAGGATGAGAAATGATTAAGATACTAAAGGTCTATTCCAGACAAAAATAGTCTTTATTCAATATAACACAGTACTCACAATATTGACCACAAGACACAGGGATCCTTGAACCTTCTGAACTGTACTGTCTCCTGAGCTAAAATGCCTAAATGTCTTAATCCTACCAGGGGTTTATATACCGCAGGATTGGGGTACATTACAGAAGGGAAGTAGGTCAGGCGCGTGTGCGGGTATCATTTAATGATCAACACGCATTGACAAGTATTGCGCAGTTCCGGAGGTTGCCATGCACAGGGGTTTCTATGCGCGCATCATCAGGGGGTCCGCACGTCATCAAGGGTCAGCGCACGTGTCTGTCAGGTGTGTCTGTCAGTCCACGTGTTCTTGGGAAGGACAGGGAAAGGATGAAAGAATATTAATATAGTTTATATATTAATCTATTATTTCTTCCTGGTGTTATGAATAACACCGAATAGCAATATTTGCTTGATAGCAAATATTCTCGCAATATACATCAGGAAATTGTTATACAATTTCCACCAATAACAATTTAAAGATAATAATCCTAATCAAAATTTCATACGCAATAACATTTCAGCACGGCGTTGCAACTTTCAGACAATAAAATTTCCTACTTTTTTGAACCAAGTCTTGTAATTACCCTCAAAGCTTCTATTATTTACCCATGACATGTCCTTTAGTCTGATTTCAAATACTTCAGACATTATTTCAATAAGCTCTCTTAACTTCAGTACATATCCCTCGTTCACAAGCCAAGCTTTAAGCAATGAAAAACGCATGTACCACCTGCTGGGGCCTGGGGAACCTATACGTACCAGTAGCACGCGTACTCCTGGTTGTACACTGGGCTAATTACAGGTAGTATAAGAAAAATACTGTAATTCTTGAAAAAAGGGTGCTAACGGATAACTCCCCATTCAACTAAATCAAGAAGAGATTCGGCACACATTTGAGCAAAAACTTGAGAAGTTCAACAGGAATTAACATACTTTACCGCGAACCGCTGTTTTCATAAATTAAGTTTATAGCAACGTTGTGAAGTTACCGTACTTGAAACATAGACGGCCCTGCACCTGCGGAACTTGGCCAGATGGCACATCCCGGCCGTCTGGCCAACACTACAACCCCAAAAAAGCGTACACTGTCCTCAAAACGACGAAGACCTCGAAAGGTTGAAAAGACCTGTCTCAAGGGGCAATACGTTGAATCCTTCATCCATAAGATCACTCGCGCGAAGCGAAGGCGGCAATACAATAATTTATTCTTCCCTTTCAGACCTCGTGAGGCATCTTCTTCATAACACACGCGAGTCGCGCCAAACGACGGAAAAGGACGTGGGTGCATTCCGCGAAAACTAAAATCAGAGCACAACGTGGGATTCAGGAGCCATCGCCCACGGGCCCAGCACACGCCGGCAGGGATGGACCGCACATTGCCCAGGGCCAGGCAACAAATGCCTCGTGCCTGAGTGTACCTGTGCCACGCGAGCGCGAAGCAAGACAATGCCGACGAAGGAATTTAATAAAGACGGACTGTCAACGAGCTTCAGAGCATTGCGAGAGCCGGGAGCCTGAGGTGCACCGCGGGGAGACAATCAGGAGGAACCCAGAGGCTTTGTAAGAGATCCTGATCCCGGGTGTGCTGCGAATATCAATGGCTCACAAATGCTTCCGTCCTAGAAGCTTTTGCGCTTCAATCTTCACAGAATCCATAAAACACCCGCTCAATAAGGATTTCTGGGAATCCTCACTTTTTTATCCTTTGGAGGTAACCAGCAGCAAATTAAACGCCGCATATTCAACACCTCCCGGGTTTTCTTTTTTCCCTTTCTCGCGCACCGCCCTTAAAGTCAAGTCACGGATAGGAAAAAATGCCTCTGTTTCTTATTTTTGCATTACCAGAATGACTAACTTCTAAGGCAACCCTGAAATGATGGTAACTAATTGAGTCTGCTCGTGACGCTTCTCCTCTGCGAAGATGCCGTCTAGACACATTGTTCCGTTGAGGATGAAGGTTAATTCCGAAAAGGGGGGAAAAAACATTGCAGAGGAATGTCGTTGGAAGGCAAGGACGGCAATTTGCATGACGCACAAAAAATTTTCACCGAGAAAAGGAATTCTTGCTATTGCTGAGTCACGTGCCTTCGCCGTCTTCGAATCCCCGAAGAAGAAATATCCTGCCCAGATTCGGGCAATTATCATCCCTTTCCCTCTAGTCCGAAGTTTGCACTGACCGAGAGAAGAATGCAAACTAAGGCCCCAACGGGCCAACATCCGACGCGACGCACGAAGTAAATGTCTTCTACCCTTGAGAAAGGTGTCCTACCTTCGGTTTAAGATGAGCCACCATGCGGAGAGACGATGACCTGCATCTCACGCGCAAGCGGAGAAGGAATGGAAGCCTAGTGGGATTGAAATTCCGCCGCCATAGTTCGAAAACTAGGTAGCGTCTAGCTTCGTCCGCCGAAGGGACGCTTTGATCTAAGCCTCAGGAAACAGAGATACATATCTCCACGATTTGTCAGCTCGATTCCATTTGTTCCCAACTACCACACAATTTTCCAATGAAGCAACGCGATCTCAAATGTCCTTGAATTAAAAAAAAATGTCAGAAATTATTCAGCTGGTGCGAAAGCCGTGAAATTTCAATGTCCTCCCCCTCATCTGGCAACTGTGGACAGCGGTTAAAGGTGAGAATAGTTAATTAATAGAGGAGCAGATGAAACACGGAAGATCGATTCTTTATGCACTGAACATGTCAAAATAGGCAATACTTCCTGCTGTCAACTGACTTTTCCGGGAAATTTTCGGCATCAATACCCCGAAAATTTTCAGGACGACAAGTACAGTAGTTCATCGAAACATAGTTGTAACATTTCGGATCAACTTAGACGCCACTAAAGCATAAGTTACATTTGTTCGTACTTTACATTACTTAGAAAAAAATAATTGCTAATAAAAAAAATCGTGACTGCCTGAAATTCATAAACCACGCCACTGTGACGGGCGAATTTTTTTATCGCAGTAATGAGGTGCAATTTAATCTCTCCGGACTATTTCCCATCATTCGAACGAGGGAAAAAATAAAATTAAGATATCGGTCAGGAGATACATGGCAATATTCATCTCAAAATATTGCTGCCAGCGTCATTCATCCAAAATAATTTCAACTAGAGAAACACCAGGATGAAAAAGCTCATGAATAAACAATAGAAAGCAAATTTGAAGACGGCAAACGGAGAAGCTCGTTCGTTCAACATTTTCCCGCGTTATGCGAATGGAAAAATATGAACGATGTGAAAAAAATCGCATCTACGCCCCCCTCCCCCAGAAAATATAGATCACATAAGAAACTAACGTTTTCATAATTCCCATAGTCGAGAAAATTTACGGTAGTCCACTTTACAATGATTCAATGAATTTGCTTGCGATTAATCAAGTCGGCCGGGCGGAATGAGTCACCCGTTCACTTCGTTGATGAAGACGCATTCCAAGCTGCATAATCGCATTACAGGAACAGTGTTTATTTTGGCCTTACTTCCATTCCCTCGCCTTCATTACGCCCACTTCAGAAACTTGATCAAATCAAGGAAAATATCGCATGAACACATGCTCAACTCTTTCCAGTGGTAATCGATTCACTCGGGAAATGTATAGCCCGGCGGAAGGGTTCTGCGCAGCAAATCCTGCCAGTCATATGATTCCTGATCACGAGGCCTAGCGTGAGTCTGCCGACAAGAGTTCCGTGATTCACACAGAATTTCGGGTGCGGTGTGCTCAGTTGGCACATGGCAGGAACACAATAAATGAGGGGGCCGTATCATTGAACACATCGTAAAACTTCATCGGATTCGCTCTTTATTTGAGAAGCGCCAGTCGACGACGTGGAATTTAATACTGCTAAAAGTCACTGAATCGACGGGGACTCGAAGTGAGCCAGAAATACAATTTTATCAGCTGGGAATATAAATAGTTTCCGAGGTGGGGGACGGCAAGCTAATCAAGTTGGTTAAAAGTTCCGCAGATCAATCTTCAATATGAGGAGGTAAAGAAATGGTCCCAGAACGCCGGAGGTGCGATTCCACATTCGCTAAACAGGGATACACCCGGGATTTAGATTGCCCAGAAAATTGAGGGGGAGAAAATGAGGAAGATTTCTTACCTGTTGCGAGAGTTTGTTCATGTCGACGGGCTTGATTTTCTTGAGGGCGGAGAGACGTTCCAGCCTCTCGCGGGCCTGCTGCTCGACGGCGATGACGAACGCATCTTGGATATTGCTCTGCTGCGCCAAGTCCAGAGCTGTAAACGAGGAAACGGGTCAAGGCAAATGCAAAGAAAATGGATAATCGCCGAGAAGGCAAATCGTGAACGAACACTTCAACACAGGAACTACGTCCCGCGCTCAAAATCGCTGCCGCTCCCGCAGCGCGTTTCAAGGACCCGCTCGAACCATCGACGGCCACTGATCACGGTTGCCGAGACGCGCTACCCGATTTTGGCAGGACTTTTATCCAGCACCTTTAACCCTCCGTCACAATGAATCGAACAGAACAATTTCAAAATGCGGTTTTCTAAAATGTTACCTCGGGTACTCGAGGGTTCTGCGAAAGCTTCATCTAATATAATAGGACTCCGATTATACGAGAGTATCAAGGATTATCGGATACAGTAATTCAATTTTCAATTGATGAAAAAAATAATCTATATTAAAAAATCAGACTATTCTAAATTTCAAGCGATACTCAACTTATGGCATCTTATGGACTTAAACAGCCAACGGACCAAACCAAATTTGAAATATATGATTTATCTAAAAGAATACCTTTTACCACGCGGAAATGCATTTCTAGGTCTGTAGTTCTGCGATTTTTAAAACTTGTCTACAATATGGACAGAATATTGCATACGTGCTAAAAATTCTCTTCAGAACCGTACTCAGAGAAAAATTAGAAATAGGAGTAGAGCGTATTATTCTTACTCGTCCTACATTCACCCCCTTCCCCGAATAGGCTTATTACATGATCGTACTTTTCTAGAGCAATGCTCTCAACAGATATGATCAATAACCAACCCAAGCCCTTCCATCTCAGCAGGTCAAGATTAAAATACTGCGAGTCTCGCAGCTGGTTTTACGGAGAGATTATGCATCTCCCTTCGATTTTGATGACAAACGGAGCACGTGGCTCGTTCACGCGAGGCAGATCAGATGCATCATGCGTTCCGTAAAAAAATTATCACGGAGGTCGTTCGGGTCATTCGGCAACATAGAATATCCTTCCGGGGCCCCATTTATCACGCGATCAACCTAGCTTCGCTTCACGGCTACCCATAAGCGATTTCTCAACTGTCAGTGAGAAACGACAAAGCGTCCATAAGAACGAACATGGCTATTGGAGAAACGATCGTACACTTACTTGACAAAGTGAATCGTTAACCAGGCCGTAACAGGCAAGACTACGGATAACAGTCATGAGGAAACAATTTAGTCCAGTAATGAACAAAAAGTAGGCGCTATAGTAGAACCATGATTATCTAGGCCGAAGATTCTGCGTCTTTTTCTAGATAAAAATATAACGGATGATGAAGAAAGATTTAAAACATTTTCGACGAAAATATTCATGAAACGATGACTTCACTTGAAACGGGTGGACTACCATTCCAATCGAACGAGTGTGCTCTATCTAAATTTCTACAACCACCTTGTCTATAGTGACTTTTTCTGTACAGTATGACGATTTTTTTCCCATAGGGTTCGCTCCCTATTTCACAGGGGTTCTCTGTAACGAAACTCTCTCCTCAAAGATTTTTTCTGGTTCCTGAAATTTTGTTGCAGAGACCTGTATTACTGAGAATCTTCACCAAAAGACTTCCCAAATGCCCTCATAAATCTTTTGTTTCCCTTTACCCCAGAAAATATCGGTTTCATAAACTTTCATGAAGGATGCATCTCATGTCACTTTTCTGGCGCTCATGATTCAGAACTTGGTTCAACATGGATTTATATACAGTATACAGTGTATATATATTTATATCTGCTTTCATCACAATAAAATGGCTCAAATTACATTAATGGCAACAATTTCATCAACAGTCAACGTTAAATTCAATCATGATTTCTTAAAAGCGTTGAAAATCCAAGTAATCCGGTTTTAATAAATTTTTTGAAACGACAGGATTGCTGAGAATCTCCTTCTGTCACGGAAGTTCGGTAATTTTAAATTAATACTTTTTTGAAGTGGTTAAACTTTCGCGAAAAGCATCATTATTTCAGGTGCACTTTCTCGACATGCTTTCCTCGTTCGGGAGACATTCCTTTAACCTTTGCATCGCTGAATATTCTATTTTCCATCATAACAGGATTCCGACTTCAACAGTACCGAGCGGGATGAACTAACGTATCTCATTGCACGCCGGTACCTTCTGATGCACAATTGAAAAACCTTCCTAGATGAACAAATAACGGATTCCTTCAGGACATGTAAACAAAAAGTACCATGGGCTAACATGCCAGATGCAAGCATCCCACTGATGGACAGACAGGCTACTATCGCGTGCTTGCGGACTATTTCTAGCGAGTCCACGAGGACTTTCATGGGAATGGCTGCAGCTTCTTGTGCTTTCCGTTAATTGCCCCTGTTCTGTTCTTAGGGACATGAATCAGTAAAGAACCTACACGGGTACAAAGAGAAACTTTTCTCATCAGAATGCTCAATAGAACCAGGCAGAAAGAGGAGAACATAAACGCGTATCTCCTCGGGAAGCATCTACAAGGACTCGGAATGAGGGTCAGGTCGATACGACTCGAGAACTGACATTCAGACTTTTTACCATCAAAAGACTTCGCATTTTATTTAACTGCCGACCGACTTATAAACGCGGGAAAAAATGAGGCTGCATCTCATGATATTAGTCATTAATTACAATCGAGCCACTTATATATGGCATACACTCGATTATCAGACTTCGCGAAACTATTTTATCAATATTTATTAGCAATAAATAATAATTTTAAAGTATTCAAGAGGTGAAACCCGAATTAATTATTTATTTTCAGACAATTATTGCCCGGATCAAGTCTTGAAGGAAAAATGTGAGTGTTCTGTCCAAAAAGAGTTTTTTCGGAAATTTGTGATTTGTTGGGCGCTAGACGCGAAAGTAAGAAAGACTGTTTCATACTTTCATGATCTATGAGACAGAAAACTCGAATTTTTTTGCTTCCGAAACTTGATCTGGAAATTCGACAATGCTCAAAACGTCTGCTCTCTTGGAAACGGTCTCTCCAGAGGAACATGTTAGAATCGGAGTGGAGAACACCTCTAATAACCTGCTGGATCAAGTTAGGGGCCCTTCCGTACTGGGCAAAAAAAAAAGAGTTTGAAGAAATGCTCACGACATGGCGACACCCACATCCCGAGGCTATTGTTCGGAAAGCAGTTGGAAGTTGTATTGACCAGTCGAGACGACGGAATCAATGGAAGCGATAAAATAAGTAGAACGGATCATCTAAGGAACTAGAATTGCTTTCCATCTACGCGAGCGGAAAACTTTCTAGTTCAAGAGTCCTGCGCCATCTCCGAGAGAAAATCGCAACCCGTCTACCAAGTACAGTATCACAATTATTTTCCGCTCTCGTAAATCACAAGTTCTTGGCGCCTTCCTCGCAAACAGCGCGTGCTATGCTTCATCTCGACGAGGACTTCACCGGGGAATCATTTACTTGTAGTCAAGAATTAAAGAGTTAATTAAACAACGGGAAATAGGGCTGTTGGACGTCAAAACATAGAATATTGTACATTATAGTTTAAAAAGGTAGGGGGGAAGAATTGAATTGTTCATGATACAGGGGAGTTATCTGTATTCCAAGGAAAACGCATCTCTGCGACAAAATATCCGATGTATTGGCTGCACTAAATGCAGAGGTGAGTCAAACAACGAATCTATTTGTTGTTTAACGCCATAACAGTTTCCAGCCACATCCCTTCAATGTTCACTACTTCGAATATTTTCGGAAGACCACAGAAAAAAAGAGCGACACAACAATGTGAAAGCATAAATCAACCGTAGATTTAAAAAAATAATCTTAAAGAACCTCGATTCCCATTTAAAACACGCGGTTCGTTCCATACGCAATTTTCCAAGGGAAATGTGCCTTTACTTCATGAAACGTTCTTCACACGGTGAACCATTGGACATAAACTGTGAACATTATCAAAGCTCCTTTTTTGGCCTCACAAAACGGCGCAAAATTGGGTAAACCGTTTTTCGCTGGGCTGAACAACGGATCCACCAAAAAGTGGCATTCTTTCAAGGATATATCAAGCCCATGTTTTTTATGAGAAGATATATAGCATACGAGATTGCGTATGTTCATGATACAGGGGAGTTATCTGTATTCCAAGGAAAACGCATCTCTGCGACAAAATATCCGATGTATTGGCTGCACTAAATGCAGAGGTGAGTCAAACAACGAATCTATTTGTTGTTTAACGCCGTAACAGTTTCCAGCCACATCCCTTCAATGTTCACTACTTCGAATATTTTCGGAAGACCACAGAAAAAAAGAGCGACACAACAAGGTGAAAGCATAAATCAACCGTAGATTTAAAAAAAAAATCTAAAAGAACCTCGATTCCCATTTAAAACACGCGGTTCGTTCCATACGCAATTTTCCAAGGGAAATGTGCCTTTACTTCATGAAACGTTCTTCACACGGTGAACTATTGGACATAAACTGTGAACATTATCAAAGCTCCTTTTTTGGCCTCACAAACGCCGCGTTTTAACCCATTTGGCAAAAAGCGACCCGACTTGTTGCCTAGGTGGTTTTTCACCGTAAGAAAGTTCCTATATAGTTCGGCTACAAAAAATACTCTTCTATATATCGTATGCTCTAACGCAACTGAAACACAAACGTTATTCAGCGTAGGTTTTTTCCGGATTGAAAGCACAATACTGCACTTCTTTTACATTATTACGGTATCTAATTTGATTGGGAATGATCAAATTTGCGTGGAGTATTTCAATAAAATTCGTCGATTGTTAAATATAGATCAGCTCGTTAACAATTTTCGGGCAGATTTATGCACGGAAATAAAAAAAAATTAGTAGATTCATAACCGGACAGTCGAGCGTGTTTCACAATAGCGCATACGGAACTCAGCGAAAGTACGCATCCACAAATGCGCACAAAAGCTTCCGAGTTCATCATGTACAAGACAAAATTGCCGCAATGAAATTTCAATGATCCGATTTGGTGAGGTATGAATCAGTATAACTTTAGAAAAGACTTCATGTCATGACATGATAAGTAATGACCAAGTCTTTTAAGAGTTGAACTCAACTTGCAAACCGCGAGAAGTTAGTATTTATCGCATCTGAAGGGACCGTCTGTTCAGTGCTGTATTTGCATACTTTTCCCCTACCTGGACTATGTTTTCTCTTATTTTTTTAAGCATGTACACTCTTTTGACACGCGCCGTGAAGAAAAATGCTCATACGTATGTCCCAACTCGAGAAATCCATCGGGAAAATTAATCAAGTAAGCGACGCTCGCGCACGAAGAAGCACTTCGATAAGTGAACAAAATAACAAGAACTTTCAGCGCATTCCAATCACTAGTGCATTTATTCTTACGCCGATTGCTTTGCGTAACTTGTGTCATTCCGAAAATTACTCTTTACTCGATTTTGCACAGCTTTGCGGGCAAGCGCCCAACAGCTTATCAATTCATGAAAATTGAAGAAGCCAATATATGATAAAATCCCCTTCACGGGTTTCTCAACCAATTTTGAGCACGACACTGGAGGTAACTGGACACCTGGAAATTTTACACGCGGGATGCTTCTGAGATAGAGCCGTTCTGAATGAAAACAAACGAATGTACAGTATTGCCGTAGGGGCAAATCAAACTGAACAAAACATTTCCTGAAAGTTTATTACTATTGACCTGGGTTGAGGATATAGACTTAAGAGAACCGAATACAGTACCGATCAAGCTTTACCTTAAAGCTACATAAAAAATGCGGAGCGGGTGCGAAGTATTCTCTTAATCAGAGCTGAAACCATTATTCGTAATTGGTGCACGGGCCTGGATATATACTTAGTCATATTGAAATCTTTTCTGAAGTACAGTACTGTACTATTCATTACTGGTTCAGAAAATTCTCAACTTGAGTTGAACGTTTGGCGCTCTTCAATCATAAATAGCGTAGACTTCCCTGGCAATGTTCAGCGCTGTATTTGCATACTTTTCCCCTACCTGGACTATGTTTTCTCTTATTTTTTTAAGCATGTACACTCTTTTGACACGCGCCGTGAAGAAAACTGCTCATACGTATGTCCCAACTCGAGAAATCCATCGGGAAAATTAATCAAGTAAGCGACGCTCGCGCACGAAGAAGTACTTCGATAAGTGAACAAAATAACAAGAACTTTCAGCGCATTCCAATCACTAGTGCATTTATTCTTACGCCGATTGCTTTGCGTAACTTGTGTCATTCCGAAAATTACTCTTAATTCGATTTTGCACAGCTTTGCGGGCAAGCGCCCAACAGCTTATCAATTCATGAAAATTGAAGAAGCCAATATATGATAAAATCCCCTTCACGGGTTTCTCAACCAATTTTAAGCACGACACTGGAGGTAACTGGACAACTGGAAATTTTACACGCGGGATGCTTCTGAGATAGAGCCGTTCTGAATGAAAACAAACAAATGTACAGTATTGCCGTAGAGGCAAATCAAACTGAACAAAACATTTCCTGAAAGTTTATTACTATTGACCTGGGTTGAGGATATAGACTTTCTCTTGGCTTATGTCATGGCTAGTTCGAAATGGAATTTCGATGTATTTTTTACGCCTCGCCCACGCTTCATAAGAGAATTAGTCTCGACTTTGGTAATAAGCATTAACCACGTGCCCGGACCTATAGGTAAACGAACACTCGTTCATTGAAATTGGAACTATCTCGAGATAGTTTTACAAGCCGCGCTCTACATAGCCAAAAACCATGACGCCACACGATTCAAACACATTCTTCGGGTCATTTGAAATAGTTACGAAGGCAGGCTAATTTAAAGTCTTTAAACCATCAGAGAACGACCTTGTCTCCCGTCACACGCGAATTCTCTACCCACGAGACGTTCGAGAAAGCCCATTGTTTCGCCGACAAAAAACAAAGGCAACATTCGCTCTCGTCACTCCGAACACCATCCGGCGCGTGAAACTAGGAGAAATAAATTGCTCACGCGGGACCAACACGAAAATGCGATCTACGACAGACCCACCAAGACTCGGGAGAAAAAGCTTGGTTTTGCACAGGCCAGGTGGTTTTTGCACGGAGTCCGCAACTCTGATGGGATCTAGCGGCAGGAACGATGGCATGTCCGAAAATCGACCTCCCTGAACAAAAGAAGTACAGTGTGGTGGGATACCGCATGGCGCAGCGGTCGGAATCGCGGACAATAGCAGGTGCAGGGTTGGCAAAGCTTATTTTTTTACGCATTCCCCCCTTCTCTCTGCAGTTTCGGACTTCCCCGCCTCAACTCTACTCCGTGCACTCCCATAACGTCCACTGCCGCTTTCGGGTCGTTGAAAAAATCGATACGTACTGAACAATGATTATTACTCCGTACCTTGTCGCTTCCCGTTAGTAACACTTCGCCGCGCTACCAGATGGCACACCGCGATTCGCGAAACTAGATGGATTTCACAGACACGCTGAAAGGAGTTTCATGGCCGGCGCGTCTCTTCCTATATTTTTTTCTATTCGTCCACCTGCTTCGAAAGAGGACCAGCGTCCGACTCGCGCGGACAGCAAGCGCGAATGCGTGCACGTACGGTCTTCGCCCATCTTTGTCGGAAAGAGACTTAGACTGGTCGGATTCGCAACCGAGCGGCCAGCGTGGCGCACAGAGCACAAGCACTTGTCCAAAGAGCCTCAAGGCAACCAGGTAGCCAATCCCAGGTGGGTCGCGCGCGCGAGCCATGCACAATATGCTCGCCGGAACGGTGATGGTACACGGTCAAAGCACGGTGGGACCAAGGGAAGAAGAAATTTCGAAGAAAATACAGAAACCCAAATCATCGCCGATGGAACTGAAGGTCGGCAATTCTTCCAACAGATTTGCAGAAAACACATTTACATATGATTATTCCACCGAAGAAATTTTTGAAAATACGAATTTCATCATTTTGCGACAATTCATTGACACTGAGTGAAAATAACCGTGTTTCAAACGCTCCATCATTAGGCTTATATTTCATCTTTTTCAATCCTTGCTAAATTTTTAAAAATCACGTATTGCTGCGGAGATTCCTTGAGTAAATCGAATGCAAAACTTTCGTTGGCTCGCGATCGAAGAATAAAATGTGCCCGAATTCTGTGATTTGAAACTCATCAAAGGGAATAAGAGCTTTCAGCTGTTAGAAGTGAGCATATCACAAATAGTCTCATCTTGAGTCATCAACGTTTACGTAGTGAACTAGGAACATTATCTACGACAGTTTTGGATAATGAACAATATCATTCGAGAATACAGCATTGAAATTTGAGAAAATGCGCGAGAGAGAACAGAAACGGGAGTAGTAAAGAGTGTGAGTGAAATGAGGCGAGAAAATGTCAGGAATACCCGTCTCGCCCAGGTTATTACCTTACTATGGCCCACGGCGAGAGAAGGCATAAGACGAACCAAAGAAAAATACAGCACAAAGAATGAAAACAAGGGCTTCCCAGCCACCTTCCGTAACAGGGAGATGAAACGATAGGGCTCTTGGTCACTCGGCCCATCGATCGTATCCCATGGCATCCGGAGAGTGATTGATTACCACTTGAGGAAGAACAGATTCGGGTCGCAGTTTACAGCCCAGCCGAGCGCAAGGGTGAACAAAGCGAAAAGAGGAAAGATTTCTAGAAGCTCGTGACCCCACCCTCTCACTGGATCTCAATTCCTGCTTTTACGACGATTTACCAGACAATGCAACAACTGAAAAAATTCCGAGAAGTTTTATGAGCACTTTTACTTCAAACATACATTCGACATATGCCGAACGATTCTGAATTGATCTTTATCTCCTGGTTTTTCCTAATACAAATTGGAGCCACAAAAAAGATTTTCGACCAGTGGCACTTCTGCAACGGGAGAAGCTAAACATTAGGAATATCAACATACAAGATATTAAATTCCCATCACGAGGATTCTAAATTTATGGCGCATAGATGCATGGATTTGATTACATTCGTCAAGTGACCACGTAATTTCACCTTTGCGGAAGAACTTGTATTCGCATGCCGAATCCGCCAGCTTCAGGAATTGAATTTCGATCTTGTTTCAAACTTACCTTTCTATCCAAAAAATGTTATAATATGCTTTGAATAATTTTTAAGAGTTGACGATCATTAACGCAGCACTGCGTAGACAAACAATCAAAAGCAATTGTTCAAGGTGTGAATGCAATAAAATGAACTATAAATTAGTTTAAAACAGATCTTCTGAAACTCAGGAGACCGGAATACTCAGGTATCGAAATGCAAACGTAAATTAGCAGATGCCAAGTGTTTCATCGTGCACGATGTACAGTATTTCGTAATTAATGTTTTTCATGGTCATACTCACCTACATGAAGTATTAGAATTATACACGAATGGAATTTCGATAACTCTCTTCTTCATTTCCCCTATTGGGAATTTCCCAGTCACTCTTCGAAAATGCGTCTACTTTTTCCTGGTCTACCCTTTAGCTCTGCACAGCCAAAACAGCTCAGTACTAGGAAACGCATCGAACTGGTTCAACGAAAATGGAACAGTCACGCGAAACAAATTTTTCATGGAAGAACCTCGAAATGTATTTCCTTCGGAAGTGTAGCTGTTATAAAATAAAAATGTGCAGAAAGACGTCACAGGCTGACTTTTTCTAGACTTGTAGTTGNACTCTTCGAAAATGCGTCTACTTTTTCCTGGTCTACCCTTTAGCTCTGCACAGCCAAAACAGCTCAGTACTAGGAAACGCATCGAACTGGTTCAACGAAAATGGAACAGTCACGCGAAACAAATTTTTCATGGAAGAACCTCGAAATGTATTTCCTTCGGAAGTGTAGCTGTTATAAAATAAAAATGTGCAGAAAGACGTCACAGGCTGACTTTTTCTAGACTTGTAGTTGCATCTGCATACAAAGAATCGTATTTTTTGGTTTAAAAATAAACACGAGTCGGTGATTCGACTCCTGACCTAGTTTTCAAGTAAGACATAAAAATATAAAGCGGACTTTACAGGTATCATACGGTCGTAAATTTAAATTTTTAAAATAGGTCAGTGGCGTGAGCAGTGGACAGTCTCCCTTGCAAGGCTCGCAGGTAGGAATTTCAACGTCGAGAATACCATTAAATTCAACTGCAGATTATGAAAAATAGCGCGCGACACGATTTTCGGACCATTTTGTACCGCTTTATTTGCACCAAGAACCTTCATCAATAATAAATAAATAAATAAAATACCGGGGCCCACGTTTCGTTTAAGCGCCTTGCAAAACGGTAGGTATTTTTTTGCGACTTGTCAATAAACGAAAAGGCGTAGGGCTTTGCGGCTTTAAACATGGTCTCATGTCATCAAGTTCTTTCTTTTTTACCAAAATAAGAAATCTGAATCATTCTCACCAAGTCTGTTGCCGCTTTTCCGCTTGACTCGCAAACATATCGTGCGACTCCGGATGCACTGCGAAGAAAAAATATAACGGATGTCATGCCGAACATAACCGCGAACAGCACGAGGATCAATTCCCACCCCCCGCGAGGATTATAGCGAGCAGAAGGATCTCAGATGACACAAATGCTGCACCGACAGCGACGCGACGATCTCCGTCGACACACGACGTGTAGAAATCCGGCGCGATGCAGGATTCCATTTAGCCACGAAACCCACGAAAGAAAAAAATAAAAGAGATGCTCACTTGGTGTATGTGCGATATGACCTCGGTGTGTGAACAATTGCTCAGCGAGCGACCGTTCACTTCCAGGATTTCATCGCCTATTTCCAGATCAGCTCTGTCCGCCGGGGATCCTGCAAAGCGCAAAAGAAACAAAGCGGGAATAATGAGACTCGGTGCCCTCGCAATAATATACATGTCCCGGGAATGCGTGCAACGTTGACAGGCATGAACAAATTTCTCGACACTTCCGACAGCGCGGTAAAGACCGTGCTCAGAAAAAGTATGGAGACGCCATCACGGAACTAATATCCGAGAAGACTTTGTTCCCGCGAGACATTCTGTCGGAACTGTCTACCAACATCTATCCCATGCACGAGTCCTTTACTTGCGTAAGAACAATGGAGCTTCGGTATGAAGTGGATTGTTGGTTTTGATATTTTAACTTCTTTTTGTCATCGAGTTGTGTTAGTTACGTAAAAAGGGGAACGTATTTTGTGTGGACAATCGCGAAGAATATGCATCGTGAATTTGGTCACGTTGCGCGAGTGAAATCGGCCGGTAAAATACATCGGTATCAGCACTACGGAATAAAAATAAATAAAAAAAAGTGAACGACAATGTAGTTGAAAAGCTACACAGATAAAATTTTCGCTTTGGAATATCTTCGAGCCCTCATGCGTTTCGCGCATCGCGGAGTTGGTACTGAAATATCTCGGGAGAAAATGCGCTTCCGGACATTTCAAGCGGCGAATTCTGCACATAAACGTGAGCAGGAGAATTAATTAAACGTCTGCTAATCGTGCAGGAGATTAATACAAACATGCAGCATTGCTCAGAATGCAGACTCATTCAGCAAGAAAGGGTGCAAGACTCCGCCAACGAAACCAAGGGGAGGAGCAGGAACCGTACATATTCGAAGACCGGATGGAACACAAAAGACGGAAGAGCCAGGCACGAGCGCATGCATCACGATTCAAAACATGACGTTCTCTCCGAACTTGCCGTAAAGTTTGATTTTCTTATCCTTCGTCATGCTCAGGAAATGAACGCATTCTTGTTACCTCGAAGCCATACTTCACCTAACAACCAAAACTATAAAATTGAAGAAAAACAGTAGCTCAACACAATCAATGCATTTTTCCCCTTGCATAAAACACACAAGACAATCGCGAAGAATATGCATCGTGAATTTGGTCACGTTGCGCGAGTGAAATCGGCCGGTAAAATACTTCGGTATCAGCACTACGGAATAAAAATAAATAAAAAAAAGTGAACGACAATGTAGTTGAAAAGCTACACAGATCAAATTTTCGCTTTGGAATTTCTTCGAGCCCTCATGCGTTTCGCGCATCGCGGAGTTGGTACTGAAATACATGTCTCGGGAGAAAATGCGCTTCCGGACATTTCAAGCGGCGAATTCTGCACATAAACGTGAGCAGGAGAATTAATTAAATGTCTGCTAATCGTGCAGGAGATTAATACAAACATGCAGCATTGCTCAGAATGCAGACTCATTCAGCAAGAAAGGGTGCAAGACTCCGCCAACGAAACCAAGGGGAGGAGCAGGAATCGTACATATTCGAAGACCGGATGGAACACAAAAGACGGAAGAGCCAGGCACGAGCGCATGCATCACGATTCAAAACATGACGTTCTCTCCGAACTTGCCGTAAAGTTTGATTTTCTTATCCTTCGTCTCAACCAAGATGATGACGTAGCCGCCGAGGTCCACCATGGTAAGAAGTTTCCCGGTGCAGCTCTTTCAACATATTTTCTCCAATTGTCGGACGTCGCGCATTCGCTGCTCCGGACCCGGCATTTCCTGACTCACAATCGACGGCAATGGGGGGACTGCGTCTTACTTAATGGTAGGCGGGAAGCAATCACCACATGACGCGAGAGTTACGACTGGCAGTGAGACGATC